TCAGGGTGGTTAAACACTGGAATAAAGTGTCTAGGGAGGTTGTGGAATCTCCATCACAGCAGATATTTAAAAGCAGGTTGGCTAGACATCGATCAGCGATGATCTAGATGGTGCTTGGTCCTCGAGTGAGAACAGGGGACTGGATTCAATGACCTCTTGAGGTCCCATCCAGTTCTATGATTCTTTGATCTGTAAAGGTGGCGAGCACAATACTGTAAAACAAACCACACAAGGTGCACAAACCACACAAGTATGTCTCTGAGATGCTTGTAACTTGAAAAGAGGCAGGAGGGTGACATGGCTGTGTCACACATGTTCTTTCTTCTTCATTTAAAATTACTGCATGTTTAATGTGCAGCTAATCAGACTGAAGACACAAATTCTGTTATTGATTTGTGCTCTGGAAGCATCCTTGGCCTCAACCAAGATTTTAGCTGGACTGAAGAAGGCTCTGTACATGCACACACTATGAGAAACCCCCTGCCCTAAAAGGTTTATATTCTAAATAGACAAAACAGGCAACGGGTGGAGTAAAGGTGGAATTTTCCCATGGAGCCTAAAATGCCCAAATCACATTATAAGCCCCTTCATTCCTGAATGTTTAGCCAGAGTAACTCATCCACAATCACACAGAAATGCCATGACAAACATAAGATTCTAGTGTTCTGCATGTGAGCTACTTCTAAGGATGCATCTACACTGCACCGTTATTTCGAGATAACTAGCGTTCTTTTGAAATAACAATGGAAGCGTCTACACAGCCATTCTGTTATTTTGAGATAATTTCAAAATAACGGATGGCTTATTCCAAAATCTGTAAACCTCATTCTACGAGGAATAATGCCTATTCCGAAATAGCTATTTTGAAATAAGGCGTATGTAGACGCTCCATTGCTGCTATTTCGAAATAGCCCGTCACTAGGGCCATTCTAAGTTATTCCTCCCCAGTGCCTCCTGGGGCTCTAAACTGAAATAGCACAACTACGTGGGGGAAGGATGCCTCGGACTAATTTTGAGGTTTCCCTGCAGTGAAGATGTGCTATTTGAAATAAGCTATTTCAGAATAACTATTCTGGAATAGCTTATTTTGAAATAAGCATGAAGTGTAGGTGTACCCTACTAGTGCTTAATTTCAAACAGTCAATACAATCCTATCCAAGATGTTAAGTAGATACTCAAGCAGCCAATCTGAGCCACCAGGCAATTGTCTCCTGGACACTTGACTATATTTAGATGCTAACTGGAGCAGAGCCAAGGAATGCATGTGTACCTGAGCTGGGAATTACATCTCCCAGTTGTAATCTAGGAGCACCCTTAATGTCTGAGATTTAGGATCAGAAAGAAAGCCAGGAGAAAGTTAGCACTGAGGACAGGAAGAAAGGGAAGGGAGTGGGGAAGGAGCAGAGAAAGGAAGGAAAAAACGGGACTGCAGCTGCCATTTCAAGTGAGGAAGGCACAGATTTGTTCCCACCCTGCGTGACTGTCTTCTTTTCACCAAGCAGTCTGACCTCTGAACCCCCTCTTACACTTACACTTAACGCTCTAAATTTGAGTCAGTGGTATAGAGCCTTGATACACAGGTCACAGCACCACTGAGGTTTGGCTGTGGTGCAGTGGCTGTTCTGGCTCTGTGGATTAATGTATGTACAGGTTGAACCTCTCTAGTCCATCACTCTCTGGACTCAACTGGTGCCGAACCAGAGAATTTGCCGAACAATGGGAGGTAGATATTGTCTAACAGCATTACCAACACTTCCACTGCTTACTGGGCTCTTAGCGAACGGGTAAATTAGAGCACAGAACACTGAGAGTTGGGACTGGTGGCTGTAAACAAATTTTATGGGACTGTGGGAAATTTAGTCTCACACATGATAAGCGGACATGCGGTAACTAAAACCATGCTGGAACATGGATGTTGCCAGACCAGAGAGTGCCAGACTAGAGGGGTTCAACCTGTACTGCAAACTACCAGATAATTATAACAACTGAGCTTTTCAGGGCTCCTTCTGTTCCTAATACAGAATATAAGCTTCTCTGCATATGCACAGGAGGAGGGAGACTGTAAAAAAAAAAGAATGTCTCTGGAAAATAATATGGGCTTCAATTACTGCAAAGAAAATTTAGAAATTTAAACTAATTTTGGAACCTTGACTTAAATTGTGCTCCATCACGGTTCCCTGTTGCCATCAGTTAGTCAGAACACACTGCTGTATTTTGTGGTAACCTGGGTCACCAAAATATGATTTGTTTTCCAACCAAGAGATTCTTCCAAGTATGATTAATGAAGGAGCATTTTCTAGAAATTGGAATATATTTAATTCAGTATTAAGACCACCCCCAGTCTACTTTATTCAGTCCTCATAAAAGGAGATGGCAGGGATTAGCATACTGAGGCTGGATCTGAAGCAGCAGTAGTTCATTTACTCATCCAGCTATTTACATGACAGTGTTTATGTTTTACGATGATAAGTCTTGGTTGTTATTTTTGCTCTAGAATAATTTGTCACTAATAATGACCTTTTATGGAGAGTCACAGGCGAAAAAATCCCTGGCTTTTGCAGGGCTGGAATGAAGTAGCCAGTTAAAATTACATCATACCAGTAGCAGAGATGGTTTCTAACTCAACCACTTCCAAAAGAAAAGGGGAGTGAGAACTGAAGCAGAGATCCACATCTGCCTGAAGGTGGGGCTCTCTTTTTTTTAAGCGACAAATCAAATTCTTGGAGGCCTAAAATCCAGACCGGCATCTCAATTTTGTGACTTGGGAACCGCCTATTATTGCTTGAGACTGGGTTTTTTGGAAAAGAATAAAGGGATCTTTCTTTAATATATATTATTAGATAAGAAAGGGTTTGTGATGGATGAATTGCAATAAGAGGGTGATCAGAGAGGGTGTGGGGCCCTTACTGGATGAGGGAGGTAACCTAGTGACAGATGATGCGGGAAAAGCTGAAGTACTCAATGCTTTCTTTGCCTCTGTCTTCAGAGACAAGGTCAGCTCCCAGACTACTGCACTAGGCAATGCAGTATGGGAAGGAGGTGGGCAGCCCTTGGTGAAGAAAGAACAGGTTAAGTACTCTTTAGAAAAGCTAGACACACACAAATCCATGGGCCTGGATTTAATGCATCCGAGGGTACTGAGGGAGTTGGCAAATGTCATTGCAGATCCTTTGGCCATTATCTTTGAAAACTCGTGGAGATTGGGAGAGGTCCTAGATGATTGGAAAAAGGCAAATGTAGTACTCATCTTTCAAAAAGGGAAGAACAATAATTCAGAGAACTACAGACCAGCCTTACCTCAGCCCCTGGAAAAATCATGGAGGGGATCCTCAAGGAATCCATTTTAGAAGTTCTTGGAAGAGGGGACCATGATCAGGAATAGTCAACATGAATTCACCAAGGGCAAGTCATGTCTGACCAATCTGATTAGCTTCTATGATGAGGTAACTGGATCTATCGACATGGGGAAGTCAGTGGATGTGATATACCTTGACTTTAGCAAAGCTTTTGATATGGTCTCCCACAATATTCTTGCCAGCAAGTTAAGGAAGAAGAGATTGGATAAATGGGCTGTAAGGTACATAGAAAGCTGGCTAGTTTGTCGGGCCCACTGGGTAGTGATCAATGGCTCAATATCTGGTTGGCAATATCTGGTTTCAAGTGGATGACCCAAGAATTGGTTCTAGGGCCCGTTTTGTTCAACATCTTTATTAATGACCTGGATGAGGAGATGGATTGCATCCTCACCAAGTTTGTGGATCACACTAAGCAAGGGGAAGGGGTAGATACGTTGGAGGGCATATATAGGGTCCAGAGTAAAAAAATAAAACTTTTCAAATTTTTAAAATAATTTGTTACATTCCACCTGGCTAAATTACACATTGAGCTGGAGAAGAAAGGACCAAATACAGTCTGTTGTCAGGGACCAAAGGAGTGAGAGGCTGCTAGGACTGACCCAAACCACCTTGTCATTGGCTGCAGGGACTGGTGGAGTTTTGAGGGAGTCCCTGGCTGGCTGCAAAAACAGAGTAGGCAATGAACCTGGGGAAGGTCACAGGAACTGTCTTCAGGGAGGAAGCACTGGGGATATGGTCCCAGGACTGGACTTCTTAAAAACCAAATGCAGGAGAGGGTGAGAGAGACACCAACATAGAGCACTGAGTGTGTATCCCAGAAGGGGTCTGTTCTGGTTAACAGGCAGAAAATGTTTGTCTCAGCTGGAGGGCTGAGTCACTGAAAATAAAATACATAAGAAGAGGACACCAGGACTGAAAGAACACAGACACAATGGACCAGAAGGGGGCACTTGCAAGGGGTAGAAGCCAAACGCATTACAGACCTATATTTCAGAAATGCCCATGTGGAAAATACATCCAGGTATTACAACAAATGATATCTAAATGACCTATTTGTATGTTTAATTAATGTGACTGCATGAGCAATATTGCCAACTGGACGTGCAAATCTAGGCATAAAAACTGCAAGGGTGTGGGTGTGTCTGCTGAGATAAACTGAATATGGCCTTGCTTTTGATAGAGCTATACTTAAAAAGCCAGGCAGCCACGCATTGTCATTGGGAAATGCCGATTCATTAAAGGCATTAAAGCTTTGTGTTCATGTAAATGTTTTTAGTCAGTACAACTTCAATTAAAAACAAAAGCAAACAGCTTTCCTATGGAAATATTCTGTTCTCGAATAGAACTTTATGATGTATCATGTGATCATCCAATACTGGCGAGCATATATTTAGGTGACTATTACTGTGAAGATCATCCCAATGTTCCCACTCTGATAAATCTGTTTGACCCAGTTCAAATACAAATCCTGCACATATCAAAATCTTTCCCACAAGTGAAAACACCACTTGCAGATTGGCTTCCATGCTCTTTAATTTTGCACAGAAGGTATCAGCCGCTGTAATAGATGTGGCATAAAAATGTAACAGAAATGGATGAATTATTTCATATCACACTTTGATACTATGTTTTATCAAGACTTACCCTGCCCACGACTCTGGGGAAAGGCGGTCTCTGATTTTCCGGAATTAATATTGCTGTTGCCACAATGGCCCTTTTTTGTCTTAGAATTCCAAGACTACCATCTTCATTCTTAAAGATTTCCTATAAGAGAAAAATGGGTGAGGTAATTATCCAAGACCTCCAGGACAGCATGAATTTATTATCCCTATTGCATAGATCTTAATTTCTGAATAAAAAAATTCAGGTGCCAGGACCTTGCTAATACATTCTCTCAACCCTCATTAGCAGGAAGAGTATGGTTAGTTCAAGCCTCGAACCAGTTTTGTGATAAATGAAGATTATCTTTAAACTATTCAGTCTGATCTTCGAGATAATTCCATTTATGGTGATGCCAATAATGATTCATGCATGCACTTTTCATCTTGCATTCCCGTAGCCTAACTTTCAGCCTAAGTAAGAAAAAGCAGCCTACCTTGAAAGCAACCACGATATCTCTATAAATCTCCACCTCTGACTGTGCTAACTTCCCAGCTGATGAACCTGTTAAATCTTAAAAACTATATGAGGTCTGGCAAGCTTAGTGCTTGGGTAGGAGGCCTGCAGATAAACCAGGGTTGGGAACCTCCGACCTGTCGGCCGCACACAGTTCATCAGGGCTAGCATCTGGTGGGCTGGGACACAATTGTTTACTTGAGCATTCACAGGCACAGCCGCTCACAGCTCCCAGTGGCTACAGTTCACTGTTCTCAGCCAATAGGAGCTGTAGGAAGTGGTGGCCCAGCCCACGCTGTTCCCTGCAGCTCCCATTGGCCGGGAATGGTGAACCATGGCCACTGGAACCTGCAAGCGGCTTTGCCTGCAGACACTCAGTTAAACAAACTGTCTGGCAGCCCACCAGCTGTTAACCTTGACAAACCACCTGCTGCCAGCATGCTGGAGGTTCTGATAGAAAACCTCTGATAGAGGTGGCATTGGTTAATTAGGATCACATTTCTATCTGAGTCAGGCAAAATCAGCCCTCAAAACCTGGTGCTAAGTCTCATGCATTTAAGATGTTGGTTGGGGATCAGTTGTGAAAGTGAAAGGGGTTTTTGATCATTTTTGGTCATTGAAGACCCCATGAAAATGTTGAAAAGATAGTAACTATATCCCTGGGTGAATCTGTAAATTCTAGTAAGGATAATTATATCCTACATTCTAATACACTTCTGGACCCAAACTCTTGTGTGCAGGTGTTCTTAAAATAGCTGCTGCAGTATCCCCTTCTCCCTGAGATGGATGCATTTCAATGATGGCTGTGACACCCTTGAAATTTTGTAAATGAGCTCGTTACGGGTGCATCTACACTGCACCCTTAGCTCGAAATAAGATACGCAATTTGCATACCGCAAATTGCGTATCTTATTTAGATTCTGTGTTGAAATAGGCTATTTCGAAATTTGGCATGTCGACACGGTGCCAAATTTTGAAATAACACACTATTTTGATGCATCCCTTATCCCTCATGAAACAAGGGAATAAGCAGGTCTGCTATATTTCACAATAGCAGGCATGGTCAAAAGATGCGGAGTAGCTATTTTGGGTTACCTCTGGTATCCCAAAATAGCCTTGAAGTGTAAATGTACCCTAAAAGGAATTGTTTCTGTGTCCACAAACAACAATGGGCTGTTTTTGCTGCTCTCTGTCTAGGGCTACGGCTACACTAGGAGCTTTGCAGGAAGAGGCAATGAAAATGAAGTGAGGATTACCAGAGGCGGCATAAGGATCTTGTGAAAAAAAGGGGGTTTTGTGCAAAACAGCCACAGCCACACTGCTTGTTTTTGCGCAAAAACCTCTTACAGAAAAATGGACTGGAAGAGATTATGCAAATGAAGCCCGAGAAAATACTAATCCAGGCTTCATTTGCATTGCTTCTTCCGTAGTGTAGACATAGCCTACGTGTCTCTGTCTAATATACAATCTGCAGTAACTGAACACTGTTCCCTTAATCAGGTTCAGTGTCAGTTTCCACACTTGACAATGAACAGAAAGCAGGGGAAACTCAGGCCCACAACAGTCAGCTAATCCTACTGAAGTCAAAGAGGAGGATGAACTATCAAGAGAATCCATTTTCAACCTTATTACTTTGAGGCCCACCCTAATAATATCTATTTTCCCTCCATCCCATGAGCATTGCCACTTCTCTCTAGTCTTTCCATCTGCAAGGCACTTGGGTCCCTGTTTTTGTTTGTCTTTCCATTTCTCTCCCAAAAGAATTTTGCCTAATAAAAATTCATGAGAAAGTTGAAGGCAAAAACATTGGAAGTGTCAAATAAAATAGAAAGAGCTGAATTCTATCCAAAGGCAAATGTACAATACAGTAAAGCTTTCAAATTCACTTACGCTCTAAATGCAGGCAGGGGGTTAGACTGCTATGTGGCTGTGACACGGCTAAGGAGAGTGACAAGGCCTGAACATTGGTATGTTGAAAATGAAAAGGCTCCTTTACTTATCTCAGGAGAAATAAAACTGTAGTGATGACAACTTTGATCCGTGCTGACTCCCGGTCTCATGAAGGGCTACATTATATTGAACATAAGATCAGCCAGTCTGGGCCTGACCAAAGGTCCATCTAGCTCAGTGTCCTGTCTTCCAACAGTGGCCAATGCTAGGTACCCAGAGGGAGTGAACAGAACAGGGAATCATCAAGTGATCCTTCCCCTGTTGTCCATTTCTAGCCTCTGGCAAACAGAGACTATGGACACCATTCCTGCCCAATCTGGCTAATAGCTATTGACGGGTCTACCTCCATGAATGTATCTAGTTCTTTTTGAACCCCGCTACAGTCTTAGACTTCACAGCACCTCTGGCAAGGAATTTCACAGGTTGAGTGTGCGCTGTGTGAAGAATTGCTTCCTTTTGCTTGTTTTTAACTTGCTACCTATTAATTTCATGTGGTGACCCCCCCCCATTCCTTCTATAACGGGAAGGAGTAAATAATTCAGGAAAAGGAGACTCTCCCACAAATGCCTTTGCGCATGAATGTGAAAATGATTTAAATGTATTCCTGCCTGCAGTATTCAGTAGGAGGCATTTCCAGATGCACAGCACTCAAAGGCATGGTTAATGTTCAGCAATAGCCAGATAATACCTTGCACAAAATTCCCACATGTGTTACTGAATCATGGTGCCTTATTTCTATTTTCTGCTGCCAAATACAAATTAGAGCTAGTTCTGTCTAGAACCCATTTCCATTAGTACTGGAAGACTTGAGTCATGAACAATTAATTCATACATTTTCCCACAACTGATCATCATTAATCCTTTCCAGATTTTTCCCCCGTTGCAAAAAGCCAACGATCTTGTAACTGGTCATTGCTTCAGGCCACATTTATTATCACAAAGTGTTGGAGGTGCCAAAAAGGGTATGAGGACTAGAAGCCCTCATTGCTGCATTTATGAGCAAGAATTTGGAGCAACAACGGAGAATTTTTCTGGGGTTTTACAAGAAGACCAGTGCAGAGTAGGATGGGGTTTCGGTAGTTTAATCAGAGATGTCTGAATACTCATATAAAGTAAATTTCACCCCTGCCTAGATGACTGTTCACCATTTACATCTGATTGGTGACTTCTGAATGGTGGATTTCTCCTGCTTTTCATCTGTGGCAAGTAAGGGGATGCTGCCTCTCTGCACTGGAGCACATTTCAGCCATCACTCAGCTCTGGCTAGTTAAGCTAAAAGTCTGTGTGCATCACTATCAAGTTCATATACACAGAATGAAAAAAAAAAGAAAAGGGAAGCTGAAGAATCCTATGCAGGATGCTATGTAGTCACTGTACTGCAAGTGACTGCCAATACTTCCTTTTCAAAGCAGAAGGGGAAATTGTACTGGGCACTAGCAGCTGGCAAATGCTGAGTTGTTAATGGTGATCAATCTGCCAACACAAAAGTCCAGGATTTGGGAATTGCGTGCTTGTACACAGCTTGATCCAATGAACACAGAAGTCACAGAAAAGATTTGCATCCACTGCAATGCATACTCAACCAGGCCTGTCATTTGTGTATGTAATCACTGTAGACAGATGTCTCTTTTTCATTTCCTGGCGCACACTGTGATGATTAGGCAATCCGTTGAAAGGGAAAAAGTTATACCTTTTGATAACTTTGTAAGCTAAGGTATGTCTAGACTGCATCCCTCTGTCGGCAGAGGGATGCAGATTAGGCAGGTCGACATTGCAAATGAGGCAGGGATTTGCAGGAGGCATAAGGGATTTGTTGAAAAAGGCTTTCTTTCTCAACAGATCCCCCTATACATTGCTGCTTTTTGCCGACAAAGTGCTGAGTTGGCAAAACGTGGTGGCCATTTTTATGCAAATTAGGTGCAGGATATTTAAATCCCTGCCTCATTTGCAATGTCGACCTGCCTAATCTGCATCCCTGTCTCCAGAACTCGTAACAGACTTTGCTAGGTCCTGGGCAATGTGTGTGTGGGTGAAAGAGAGGGGGATTTGGCTCCAGGGCCCCCAAAGGGGCATAGCTTTGGGCAGCAGGGGTGGGGTTAGGGGCAGCCAGCCCTCAGTTCCTTCTGGTCTATGCCACACCTCCTCCAGCCACCTGGAGCACACCACACACAGGGCTCCGACAGCGATTTAAATGGCCTTGAGCTGTTGCCTCAGTAGCAGTGGTCATGGTCCAGAGCCCATGGCCTCTTTAAATAGTTGAGCCCCAGGGCAGGGGCGGATATAGGGCAGGGCGAGCGGGGCGGCCTCCCCAGACCCCGTGCTTCAAAAAGCCCCGCGCATGCACCGTGGCAAAGGGGGGGCCCCGCGGAATTATGCTGCCCGAGGCTCCGCAAAACAGTCATCCGCCCCTGCCCCAGGGCATCTGCTCCTTTTGCCCTCTTCCCCCATTGGCAGCCCTGATGGTCTCAGTCTCACTTTAGTGTTATTACTGTACTACAATATTAGGTTCTCTTAGAAAACTGCACCCCAAATAAAAATGCTGTCTCCGCAATAGGATTTTGTTACAGAAATGACAGATGCAGGCCCTTGCCACTGGTAACTGGTGAGTAGCAGAACTCAAGCCTTCTTCAGGCTGTTTGTGCCGAGTGCGTTAGTAGGATTGGGCCAGGCAGCTCTAAAGACCCTATCTGGCTGAATGA